AAAAAAAATCAATAACACCTAACCAGATGACAGATAGTTCTGATATATTTCACTTACTTTTATTTTTTATTACTGATTTATTAATTTTATTTCTGAGAAAAAAAAAATCTCCCTATGTAATCTAGGCTTGCCTTAAACTCACTATGTTATTGAGTTTGGCCTCAAATTTATGGAGGTTCTACTGCCTCAACCTCCTGAGTGCCAGGATTGCAGACATGTGCTACCATGCCTGATATTTATTTTTTAATCTATTGATGTTCCTGCTGCTGCAGCCCTTACCTGAGACTCCTATCTGCCTATCAGCTGTAGCTCAGAATCTTCCTGACTCTGGATGCATGTACATGGTTTGCATGTACATGGTTTTTTTCTCTTTCTTTTCAGGCCCAAGTGTTTCAAGCTCCACAATGTTTCACCAGCCTCCCCTGTGATTCCCCCTACTCACTGCCCATGTCTAAAAGAGATATGAGATGGCCATGGGCTTCCCACATGGATCTGGCTGAAGAGATCCATTCTGGGTGTTCTTGCTTCATGCCCCTCCGTGTGTCTTAGCACTTACCTTCCTGGAAAATAATTGCCCATTGTATTTGTTGACTCCACACCTAGAACATAAGCTCCTTAAGGGCACTAAGCCTAGCACAAAGTAAAGTTTAGCAAAAAGTTGTTGAATGGATGGATGATCATGAGAGGAGAAATCATTAGGAATTATCAGAAAAAAATAATTTTTAAGAAAAGATTAAAGAAAGATAAAATTTTTAAGAAAAGAAAATAAAAGCCTCCAGGATTTTTGCCTATGCTATTTTCTCTAGCTGGAACACTCTTCCTCCCAGGAATCTCCCCAACACCCTGCATGTGTCCCTACACTCCCCTTGAATGCCTCCATTTTCCCCTTCTTTGTATGTACCAGCCTTGTATGAGTTTCTGTTCTTGGGGAGAGTGGAGTCTGATGTAGGAAGAATGGCCTGCAAACTGGTGGAAAACATTGCTCTCACAGGGAGTGTCCCTGGCCAAGGCCAAGGGGGGTGGGGGTGAGGTGATAGGAAAAAGAAGAAAAACCAGTTCCTGATGCTATTGCTTAAGTCCCCAAATCAATCATGTCTGAAATCCATCCAGAGGCTTTTTGGTTAGATCTAATATATTCTTTCTTCATTTGATTCAGTGTGCTCTAGCTTTTCTCTCAGAGTGCTAAGCAATTCCATGTCGTCTTGAGCCTTTTCTGGTCCCCCGCCACAAGAGTTACGTCTTATGTTCCCATGGTTCCCTGTGCACACTTCTCTCAGGCCATGTAACATTCTATTGCACATAGTAGTCTCTTTCATAAGGCTATGAGCTGTTTGAAAAGAGCGATCAACGGCCCGGGGAGATGGCTCAGTGGAATAAGCGCTTCCCTGGCAAGTGCAAGGGCCTGAGTTCGATCCCTGGTTCTGCAAAAAGAAAAAAGAAAATGAAAGAAAGAAAATAGCGATCAAATTTCAGGTGTGGTGGTGCACACCAGTAAATCCAGCACTGGAGAGGCCGAGACAAGAGAATTATCTCGAGTTTGAGGCCAGGCTAGTGTACATAGTGAGACTTTGTCTCAGAAATATGAGAGAGAGAGAGAGAGAGAGAGAGAGAGAGAGAGAGAGAGAGAGAGAGAGAATCAAATCTGATCCAACTCTGCATCATCAGAGCCCAGCACTGACCTTACCCTAGCCAGACCATAGCAGATCATATTCGGTTCCACTCAACACAGATTACAGGCACATGAGCCAAGGGAAGTCTGTTAGAAAGAAGGCTGTGGTGAGGGGACTGGAAGCCATGTTATGGGAAGAACAGAAAAGAATCAGGAATGTTTAAGTTGAAGAACAGAACACTTCTGCAGCATAGTTCATTCACTAATTTGACAGGCCATTTCTGAGTATTTCCCCTGCATGAGGCTGGAGCTGAGGAGGCCACAGATGACACAGCTACAGACACTGCCTGTGGAGCTCACGGTCTAGATGGGACAGACATGGAAACAAGGGACAAATACTACAGTGTAGTCAGCTCCACCAGCAAGGGATGA